CGGCGTGGTGTGAGCTTCGTTAGAGGCCGACCGGACCTACCGACCGGAAGAGTCGTTAACTACGGCAGCCAAGTACACGCAAGCAATTTGCATCGACGCTAATTTCGCACGCGCCGCACTCGCAGCGATGCACAAGCTGCGGGTCTTGCGAGCGCGCGTGCGGTTCCATTTGCACCCTAATAAATTTCGAATAATAATTATCGAGCGCACGCTTCGCGCCTCGCATTACGTACAATGCCTCGCTAGCAGGATCGCGTGCGCGCGCGCGTAGTAAGCTGGATAGTAATTGTTTTGTATTCGTTTCCGCAATTTCGAATATTTCCATTGATTGCATTCCCGTGCCTTTTATCCGCCGCAATAAAATGTAACGGCGGTTCGAATGTACGACCGTACGTCGGCGACGGATCAATCGGGAATTGATCAACGTAATGTAATTTATATTTTGGCCGCTAATACATTACTTCCGCGAAGATAAGCTGGTTTTAGCTGGACATTCTAAATTAATCAATGCGCATCTGAATTGGGACTCGACGAAAAATAAATGTTCGCATATCAACAAATATCATGCATCTGATTATAAAGACAAGCGAGGGAGCGAATAATTAATCGTATTTAAATAACGAATATCAATAGGCTGCCGCTCGATCGACCCGCTCGGGGCAACACGCGGCGCGATTACTCACTGAGATATTCATTAAAATTTCTTTTATTTCAATCTATTCTTCTGTATATTAAATTCTTCTTTCGTGATGCATCTCTCTCTCTCTCTCTCTCATATCTCTAAAGTAAATGAGGTGTCGACGGTTCAACTTTCGAACCGACACCTTCATCAATTTTTCATTACAACGAAAGCCCGCGACATGTCTTGAGAAAGAAAGGTAATTAATAACGTGATAGGGCGACTTTCGGAGTGTCCTACCCTCGATACATCTCGTTTGACACGCGAAGAATAAGAGAAACGTTTCTCTAAAGGACAAGCTAATTCGCCAGGAGGAGTCGCGGCACAATCGCCGAAAAAGGAGCCGAAGGGTAGACAGAGAGTGCTCGTTCACCCCGTGGGTGCTTTCGTCGGCGAAGCCACCCTGTATCGACCCAGCAACGCCCACCCAAAGAGCAACCCCCACCATGGATGACCCCATCCACCAGAGCGACCGGTACCATTTCGTCCAAAAATTCCAACACGATGCGACGCCCGCGCACGTCAAGTCTACGCCGGCTACGTTTTATTCGCGGCACGTGAGATCGACGATCCCCGTCGAATATTCGTCGCGCCGACGAAATCTCCGCGACTCCGATGCTGACTAGACAATTCTATCCTTTTTTCTCCTCTCTCTTCTTGGATCCGAACAGGAGTTCGCGTTGCGATGCGACGTCGCGTTACATCCAGAACCAGACGGGGACATTATCCGCATTACGTCGGTCGTGAGAACGAGATACGCTCGGACTTCCTAAAACCGAGGATTATTTACAACTGGCGTGACAAAGCTGGAGGAGAATAATTCGCGACGCGACTTTGGACGAGAGCACGATATTGTTGTATATAACGAACGCTGCGTGCGAAAAACTTTTTCCCCTCCGAATAACCTCGTGAATCATCCGGCAGAATTTACGGCGTCAGTTGTACATCATTCTATGTACTATAGTTGTAAGTAAAAAATACGAGGGAGCATTACTGGCGAAACCGCCACCGAAGTCCCCGCCGACGTCGGTCGTATCCCCGGTTTATCGTACAGACTATTGCTTCACGAACGATTTTATTCTCCAGACACATTGGAAGGTATCTTTCCGCGCGCGCACCGATGGATGGAGATCGATATTGGCGTTAGGCGAGCGAGCGAACGTTCCTGTATCTTCGGAACGGTAAATATCCCGACGCTTACGTGTATTTCGAAATTTTATTGCGACGTACAGCATTTACCATAACACACTTCCCCTCGTGCCGTAGCATATCTCTCGTTATACGCGACAAGGATATACGCGCGCTTAAATTATCTCTGAACGATGACAGAGCCATCCTGCCAGCCGGCCAACTAACCGGCCAGTTGGCGTTGTTGTGTGTACACATGATGCATCTCTACCACCGCGGCATATTTATAGTGGTCGAAACGAACCCCCGTGTAGGTGTCTAAAATATTTTCAAATAGCGGTGTACCAACGTCGGAGAAGTTCGGACCACTTCCATTTAACTCTGCGCAAATTCTACCAACTCCTCTCTCTCTCTCTCTCTCTCTCTCTATCTACCTATCTATTTATCTCTTTCTCCCTCTTTCGTTTGTTCTTCGTCGGTTCGAAAACGGTTTTCCCGCAACTCGCGAAATGAAACTGAAACCGACCACCGGTGATTTCCCTCATCACTTCCGTCGCAATTTAATCGGCGCTCCGTATGGCAAGGACGCGCTTCAACGCGCGCGAGGAATGTCATCGATCCGTTCGCACGGACGCGCAAGATAAATATCAAAAACTCGCAGACTGACGCGTGATGCAAAAATCGATCGCGGGAACGGATTGAACGCGATCCGCACGCGGAAATTCTGCCACGACTAGCCATATCACGCGCGCTCGTCATGTACTCGTCATCTGGACCGACAGCAAGTCCGTTGCCGCATTCGACGTGACGAGTATACTCGCCGGGGCGCGTCGCGTGAATGTTTTTGCGGGCTATCGAAAAACAGCAATTCAAGAAATCAGCGAGCGTGCAATTCCGCGAACCCGTGCGCGCCATAAATCACTTCTTCGGGAGCAGGAAATTAAGTTAAGTTCGGTGGTGGCTGAAGAAGAGCCAATGTTTCCTGCTTTCCGACGAAATTACGCACATGGAATTTTTATGCACACCCAGTTTCGACACGTTCATTGTTGCAAGCGCGAGAGAGGGGAAGAGGGGTGAATGCGAGGTATGAAAGTTGGGTAGACGTTTCTCCGAATTTATTACAGCGTTCGCTTTGCCAGGTTGCCAGACATAGCGGCGAGTCCGCTACAGTGGTATGCGAAAGAGAGCTCGTGTTGCGAAGTGTCCTTTGTGGTGAGATCTGCGTATGCAAATAAGCAAAATAATGTTACCATCGAACCAAGAACGCGGACGGACCGGTTGGTTGGCAAATTTAATTATCGATTCCCTGGGAGAGAATATATCTCTTCCTGGAATGCAGCATCTATGCTGAAAACGCGACCAAGAGGTAGCGGTTTATTTCTGAGAGTTCGATGGAATATTATTATCGTAGCGGCAACGCCGGTCCTTTTGTTGGATTCGCGTAAGTTGAACCTCCACGGGTTCGTACACGCCGTCTCGTATCGAAGATACTCTCTTGTTGTGTGTTTTTTAGTAGACGCGTGCAGGAGGGACGTGGACCTTCTCGAGATTCAATTCCCCGCCTCGGTATCGAGCGAATATCGATGAGCGTGGATCGCTCGATCGTTTAATCGAACGATGACTCGTCGATTCGGTGCGAAAATGCATCGCGCTCTTGCGAGTACAAAAGATCAATGAGGTTGGTGTACGACAGCAGCGGGCACGAGGATGGCGCGTATCGCTTAATTTTGTGCTGCTACACCCGGCGGCGTTTTAATTACGTAGCGTTCGAACGGAAATGGCACGCGGCGATATTCATCGCGTTGAATAAAGTACACCCCGCGCAACATCCTTCTCGTTAATTTCGCGCGTCACTCGTTAAATGTTTGCGTTGAGTTTTGGCACACCGCTCGTCGTCATGGTTGTCTCTCGTCCGCTGGTCTCCGGTGGCTTTCGATCACACACGATTCGCTTCCCTCTCGTGCCACCTGACCACGCTCGATAGTCTCTCATGGTTTCCCCACAACAACAAAAAACATTAAAAAAGAAGGAAGAAAAACATCCCTTGCGACCGGGTACTTGACGCACCTTTTGACCGTTTTTCCTTCCCTTCTGCTTCTCTATCTCGTTCTCCGCTCTCCGGGCTCCTCGTTTAATTTCCAGCGGCAACGGTGATCGCTCGCCGACTCAACGCACAAGTCTTGTCGTTGCGTCTCCGCGAATTCTGATAAATTCCTCGCGTCACAATGAAACGGACGCACTGCTGTAGCTCTCACCGCGGCATTTCTTTTCCGGCCGTCGTTCGTTTCTCTCCTTCTCTCGTCTGCATCTTTTTCCTCACCTTCCGCCCCGGCTTTCAGTGCGAACTCGATCACCGGCGTACGCCGCGAGAAACTTTCCCAGCTTGTACTTTAGAGCGCGAAAGAGTCCCATGGGATCTCCAGTGACGGCTTACACAAAATCCCTTGCCTCTTTATGTACTTTTGTCATTGTTTCGAGAATTCGTCGCGATAACTCGCGCGAGTTACGCTCGCGATGATCCCTACGCGATCGCCAGCTGAAACCCGTGTCGCTCGCTCGTTCATTCCCTCGTCCCTTCGCAAGTGCGTCTGAGGGAAATATTCGTATATTAACTATTTAATCGGCTCGGTCGATTTGAACCTCGGAATAGTCGGAGGTTGAACTTTAGCGGCAGCTACATGCAGACACGCCCGGCTTTATCCGCTAGTACGCAAGAATGTTGTTTCGTAGGGATGTGGCTGCTTTCTGAAGGCAGTCTGCAACTATTCTCGAGTTCGCCGGTGCACGGAATATGCATAGTTCGGATACTTGTTCCGCGAACGTGCCCGTAAGATTCGCGGAGTGCGGAAAATTGATGGCGCGTGTAGCTCGATGTTTTCCCCCGCTGTAATTATTTCGCTCACCGAGAGAAACAGGAGAGAACGAACACCGCCGGGGATTTTCGAAAATCTACATATCGTCGTGCATACATACATACATACACTTTGTCGTCGGTCTCAAGCCCGAGTGAGCGAGACTATTCGTCTCTGTGTGTGATCGATACTCTTTTTCTTTCTCTTCTCTTTTCGTATGTCGTCCGGATATTCGGCTATTTTACAGAGTTCACGCCCTTACAATTGATTTGCACCGACATTTACGGTTTTGCAGTGCACGGGTTTCACGCACTAGATTCATGTCTCTTTTTGCCCAGCATGGTCAACGACCGAGTGGCGACTGACGCCGGGACCGACGGCAAAAAATCCGCGTTAAACACTAGCACGAGCCAGATGTCCGGGGGTTGCGACCGCGGTGGTCGGCGGAGTCGTCGTCGTAGTCGTCGGTCTCGGTATCGGAGAACGCTTCATAGGCAGCCCCCTGCCACCCTGCTCGTTCTTGACCCACGGCCATTGCAAAGTGCGTATCAGAGTGTTGCGGAAGTCCTCGGAGAAAAGGCAGTAAATGTAAAACGTGATCGAGTAATAGATCACCTCCAGCAGATTGGCCAACGCTCGGAACACCTGCAACCGAGTGCGGCGAATTAATGGACGGATTCATAATTGATGAGAGTCGGGGAATTAGGCGCGGGAGGATGCGCGAGAATAATCGAATCGGTCGATCAAGGAGAATCGCACGTGACGCCGAGCGGATTCGTCCAAACGACTCGATTCTTTCGATATAACGAAAAGACGAAACGTGTGAAGAACCAAGACAAAAAACGGAGGAGCAGATTTAGACTTTTTATTTTCGGTATTTACTGAAGAAAAGATCGGATAACGATTGCCAAGTTTTAATTAAATTGTTTGGTTATAAATACATAAATATAAATATATTATAAATCTTGGTAATTGTTGCCGAATCCTTTTTTCAATGTGCGATTTGATTATCTATTTTGTTAGATGTTCGAGTAGAAGCGGAATTTCTTCGTGAATTCGCGACACTACGCGCGTACGAAAATCATAAATTGTACATGGTATAAAATTTGTAATACGTGTCTCGTTACCTGGTAAGGATAGTGGCTGAGATTACTCTCGCTGAGAGTGACGTTCAAGATAACCATAGGACTAACGCAGACTAGAAACAGGATACTGGTGCTACCTAAAAGCAGAATAAGTCTTCGTTCCTCGGCGAAAGTTCTGGGATCCTCGTCATTGCTGACGGTCCTCGATAAAGTCATTCTTCGACGTCGTTCGCAGGACCTCCTGTACACTATCATTATCCTCAGATTGAATCCCGCAAGTAGGATCGTCGGCGCCACTTTAAAAACCATTTCCAGCGCCACTTTATATACCTGAAAATACATTTGCGCGTCACGCGAAGAGAAGTGAGGTAACGTTTTAAGACCGTAAACAGGGATGCATAATTAAATATATAAAACGCCCGAACGATTCGCGACCTCGCCCTCGATTTGAATGTCAGATTGTTTTTGGCAGTTTACGGCTAATGGAAGGTTTGGTAGCACTGGTATTCACACTTTTATCGGCAATTAGTTCCCGGGAAAGTTTTCGCATAACGTTACGGCTTCGAGATATGCGTTTTTTACGACTACGAAAGAGCAACGCGCCCGCGTAAAGAGCACAAATTACCTGATAGTACCACGAGTTGAGAAACGACTGATTCTCTCTCTTCTGGTAGATTAGGGGGCTACCGGGCGCCAGCAGACAGGTCGTAATTTCATCCCGAAATACGCTCGGCAGATAAACGAGAAATGTAGCCAAGGGTATGAGCACCACTGTTAGGTGAGGGGGTCCACAGAGTGGACGCGTGTGTTGTCCGGGATGACAGACGCTCACGTAACGCTCCACTGTCAATGCCAGAAGCATCATTACTCCAACCCCTGTGCATACAATTAACCTCTATATCCCTCAAATGCGTTATACGAGTCGACCTTAAAAGCTCTTCTCTCCTCTGTCTCTCTTCGTCCCGCGTTTTCGTACTCGTTATAAGATAGAGAAAAATAAAAAACCAGAAGATTCTCGCAACTCATCCCGTTTACGCAAAGTGACCTCGCAATTCGAGCCGTTTGCCCGAACGCGCCTCTTTCAGCTACATCGGAGCAAACTTCTAATCGCTATCATCGTCGTAACTTATAAGTGCCCAGCGCGAGATACGAAGTAGCCGAAGTTTGCCATCGCAAACGCGAACTCTCGAGCATCTTCTATTTCTTCCCGCGCACGGAATTCCGGGTAAGGGGGGCGGATAAATTCATTCCCTCGGCATGAATCATCGTATCAGCCGTTTCCGAGAGAGAAAACGGCGTTAACGGCGTGGAGGCGACACGTAGGAGGAGAGAGTCCGCGGTCTCGAATTTTCTCTACGAGAATGTGGAATCCCGCGGCTTTTCCATGTAAAGCGACATTGTTTCGTCGCGCGTACCGAGGCAGCCGTTGCCGAGAAAGAGCTCGAGGTGAACGTGGTAGAAGGCTTGCAGCCAACTGCTCCATCCTCCCGTCTCCTTGTGGATGAGCACCCTGAGTGCGAAGGGGATGCAGAAGAGGATCGCGAGGAGTGCCGCCGCGGAGTAACCTGCAACAAAAAGTGTTAAGCGGAGGATAGTCGGATAAGGAAAAATAAGACGGGGGACTGAGCGAGTTAACTCGATTTCATAAACCCGGAACAGCCGGGCGAACGTGGCGGCGCGATTCACTTAATCATTCCGCAACTTCCCGGGATATTCCTGCCGCCGGGGAATTTTTCATTCCACCTCGCCTTCGGGGCTCCTTTCCTCCCCTCTTTTCCTCTCTCGCACTCCGTGTTCGTAGGGTGACAGAAATAAGATTAAATCGCTCTTCAGGATCTATTCCGGGATACTCGATTATAATCTCTCTCTCTCTCTCTTTCTCTCTCACGATCTTGAATACCATGTTCCTGTTTGTTTTCCACAGGCACGCACGTTTCGCTCAGTTATTAATTAATTGTTAGCACTATCGGTTCGTTTCGATTTCGTCAATTGGTCGCGCGGTTGCAGGCAATCGAAATGGGATACGTACTTTTTGCCAATTTCCATGAGTTGACTGTGTTTTCGCGCGGTCAGCTTTAGCGTTTCTATCTCTATCTCTCTCACTCTTCATCTCGTCTCGTATTACGAGCTTTTACGCCGCCCATTGACACCAATTAACACCCTGTATTTACCGTTCTGTAGAATTTCCCGGGCGCAATTAGATGTTAGCGTCGCACTCTCGATCCCGTGTCGTTCGCGATTGCATATTGCCTACAAAATTGTTTACACGCTTTAATTCACGCGCGAATGCATAAAAAATGACTCCGGTGGAAACTTTTCTGAATATATTTAAGAAAGGACTCACCGCTTCGAAAGAAAGCAATTTTCTTTTTTACACTTCGAACAGTTGAAGTTCAGCAGGAAATATTCGGATAAAAATTTACATTGTCGTTATTTAATAATTGTCAGACAGATACGCTTAAAATATATGCAAAACTTATTATTCATATCATTTTTTTTTTTTTTTTCGTGAACTAGTTGTTATTCACGGGATTACCTTCGATCAATGTGCGATGCGCACAAACTAACAGATGCAATTTTATCAACCATCGCTTTTATCGCGCTGTCTGCTTACAAGCTCCCAGCCGCCGGTGAGCTCGAGAGACATGTCGGTAGGGTTGTAGGTTGAGAAAAAAAATCAATGTCTGGGAATGATCAATTAATTTTTAACCTTCTTCAAGACTATTCGATATCTAATGAATTGTTTTTAATAATATTTCATAGCTCCTCTGCAGACCCATCATTGAAAGTCGTACTATTTAAAAACTTTTCTGACATAACGTTGAGTCAAATTATTTTCGGATAAAAAGTCGTCCGATCTTGCCTTTGCGTCGTATTAGGGCTTCGATTTTTCATCAAAGATGGTGCCGGTTCGAGACTTCGGACAGTCACTTTACAATAATAGCTCGATCTATTAGATCGGTAAATGCAACTAAGATCAACGCGCTAAACGGGCTGCCTGGTACAATCTAGCGGTTTCGCGAAAAGACCAGTTGCTCTCAACGGGTTCGCATCTCGGCTGAATAGGGTTTGCGTCTCAGTTAAGAGATCCATTGCTTATATCAATTTCGATTGATAAATTTTATTATTAAACAGAAATCTCTGGAGCAAGAGAAAGCTTTGAGGAAATTCGGACGAAATGAAATAAATTCAGTAACCGAATTTATATCAACGTGGTAAAACTAAATTTATTAATTAAAAAGATCTACTTAAGGATTGATAGAATTTGAAAATATCGTGAGTGTGTTTTAATTAGTTCGCTTCATTAAAAAAAGAGTAAAAGAAAGAAAAGAATTAGACGCTGGTTCGTCAGTCGCACGTTTTCACTCGCCGGTAACACGAGGATTTTCTTGGTCGGTGATAACGGAGTCGACGACGACAACCACGGGGTAGTTGCAACCCCTGAGCTCGTCAGAGTCGATACCTCCTTTACCAACCGGCTCGCTTCCGCGGACTTCTCGAGGATCTCTCTTTGAACGTGTCTCGCCCGGCAGTGACAGAACGACAGTCACTTTAATTACGAGGGAAAAGTTCCGTCGGGTCTTTGCCTCCAAGTTTATTAAAGCGCGCGATACACGCCCGTCAGAATATGAAAGTCGTGCGAGAGCCCCGGAAATTGGCTAATGTCGCGCGAATGGAAGTCGAGTTTTCCGTTTGACTACACGACGACGCGTCGTAGAAGCTCGTAAAACTTTTTACGCCGCGGCTCTCCCTATTAAGGCGAAATTACATTTTTCCATTTAAATTACGATTCCTCGCCGCCCATCGGTCGTCCGTCAGCGGACGGCCGCGAGGAAGTAGTTCAGTTTTATTAACCCCGCCGAGCAGTTGGCGCGAATCGACGAACAGCGGCGGCACCGAGCACTTCTTGCCGACGGATTTCGATCCCTCCCGCTCGCTTCGTCGCTTTTCTTCAGATTAACGCTTTGTTGCGTCCTTCTTGGTCAAGCTACAGCCGTAAATCGCGCGATTATATGAGTCATAAGACTGCACTTTTTCTTTTAGCACGTAACGTCACGAGATGTTCTTCGAGGAAGTAAATTTCTACCAGAATAGGATCGCAAAAGTTGTGCCGTACAATTCAGCGAGTATGATTGCAAATCGAAGAATTGACATTCACGCAATAATTATTTATGCCACGCATATATGTGTACGTGTTATAAATAATATACTGCGGCCTGTTCTCTCTTCTCTTTGTTCATCGTACGAATGTGATACTTCAAATTATCGTTATTTCCGACTTATCCCTTGTTACGTACAAGGTATACAGCCGCTTGCTGACTCTCGCCACGGCTGATTCGCGCTTTCCATTTTTCTGGAGGCGACGAGCGGATGAGGGCGTCGAGCTCGTTAACCCACGCAGCACAGCGATGGAAATTAATGTGTTAGTGATTCATTTTAGGGTCACGGTTCGTTTACCAAACCCTATAACGCTGATTGGCCGATTCCCCGATGTTTTCTTCTTCTCTGTATCCGATCCGTCGATTCGCTGTCCGATACGCTGCGATACGAGAGCGAAAGAGGGGAGGGGCATGAAAATGCCGACGGACTCGTAAAATTCTGATTGGAAAAGTAACCGGGCGAAAGAGAAATCCGGGTCTGAATATACCGGCGTAGATATTCTTATGTTCTGCGGCGCGCACGTAGGTCTGAGGAATTTTGACGATGTCCCTTCGGAAGGAAGATCGGGCGGAAAATATGTCGGCTTTCTTGCCTCGGAAGTTACACGCGCGGCTTCGCCGATTTGCGATGATCAAAGTTCTCTCTTTCTTTTATTTTCGTTTTCTCTCAGTCGTAACGCGAAACGATGAATCGGACCGGCCATCCTCTGTCAGGCCGGAATATCAGTAATCTGTCGTCACTCGGGGCGTCCTTCACTACCACGTTCAGCGCTTCGCAGCGGTAATTGACAGCGAGTTGTTTCCGCTAATTACTCCCAAACACGCTGGACGAGGCGAGACGATTTCTTCGCGATCGCCCTCTCGACTTTACGCGCATAGCAGTTGCGCGTTGAAGATTCTCCCGATGTTGCCTGCGTCACGCGACGCGATGCGCCGTGTCATCATCGCGATGCGCCAGGTTAATACCTCACGTCCTCGTCGCATTGTCCGGTCTTGCGCGCGTACATGCATGTAACTGCACATGCATGCGCGCGTGTCGACGAACACGAGGGAGGCTAGCGAAGAAAAATGTCGCGATGTCTTGCGACGTTGTTGCCCGGCATCCCGCGGCGACGTTTTACAAATCGTGTCCTCTCCTGGCATGTTTAATTTATCGAAATCCCGAGAGAAAAGCCAGCTGCAGCGTCCATTTGTCAAGGTCCGCGTCTACGCGAAACGGTACGCCGATGATGCCGCGCGTCCGTGCACGGCCGCTTTTAACTCCGTAAAAGCGTCTGTTTCCGCGCGTTAATTTGTCGTTCCTTCGCGTCGAGAGAGCGCATATGAGCGTGCACGTATGTTTGCGTGTCGCGAATTGGATAAGTTAGAGGTTGCGAATGTTACTTGCGGAAATGAGATCGCATCGAGGCAGCGTTCATTGTCACGCGTTCTTCGTGAGAATTAATTATCGATGAGAGATTGACAATATTTTTCTTCTCAGAGATGCCGACGATAAGGATCCTTATGCAAATCCTGTCTGTGAAGAGCGAAAATCGATGAAACGCGGATTCGCAACGAACGAACCGAGACACCCGACAGTGATTGCCTCGCGCGAGTAAATTTGCGAGTCGGTTTAACTCGCAGGAGTCGCATTCGCGGGGGACACGTAGCTTTATCGAATTACGTCACGCGTCGGAAAAATATCGCCGAACCCGCGGGCGGCGGCAAACGGCAGCGCAGGTGCCAGATGTTGAATTTAGCAGAGCGTTTTCCCGCATTCGGCGCATACGTCTTGCCGTGTGTTCATCGCGTCACACTGCCAACGTTCGTGCACCACCTGTTGAAAAACGCGCGTAATACGAAGTTCCCATTACTTTCGCGGGCGCTCGACGTATGTCCCATACTTTACCGACTTTGCCCGTGTCTCTCGGCGCGGCGCATCTGCACCCGTTCATCCCGCGAGTTAATAAACGCCCGGGTAAATATCCTGAAACAATAGCTATATCGCACGTCTCTCGGCGATCTTCCAATTAATCTGAAAATTCAATTTCGTCGGAATATAATGGAACGTACTAATCATTTGTGACGCGAAATTCCGCAGTTCCCGGGCAACGTGAAATTGTTAATATTTGATATTTGATAGTCGGAAGATTACACTCTTCACGAAATATTTTGCAAATTAAACTATTTCAGAGAGAGAAGAAGAGAGAGAGAGAGAGAGAGAAGCGATTTCTTCTGACCTCTCGTTCGGAAATTAATTTCGATCTTCGACCGAGACGTGCGAATTTTACACCTGTTGCCTGCCTCGCGTATTTTTTATCGAGGAGAAAGCCGCTTGTCGGCAGCGATTGTAGTTACAGGTAGCGAAGCGGTTGAGCGATCACTTGTCGTGGGCGAGCATTTAATTCTGTCCATTGTGGCCTCGC